GAATGTACTTAATGCCACTGAATTATACACTTTAAAATGGTTAAAAGAGAGGAGGGTATAGCTCAATGGTAGAGTGCATGCTTAGCATGCACGAGGTCCTGAGTTCAATACCCAGTACCTCCATTAAAAATAAATAAATAGACCTAATTACTGCCCCCAACAAAAAAAATTTTTAAGATGTAAAAAATTTAAATGGTTAAGATGTTAAATGTTATGTTGCATATATTTTACCTCTAAACAGTGAGTTGTTTGTCCAGTAGTTTGATTTTATGTTACATATATTTTACCACAAAATGATTAAATGAGTAGTGGGTTGTGTGACCAATAGAGTTTGATTGATGTCTAGAGAAAATTAGTGAGATTATCTTTGGGTAGAAAAGCCCTTCAGGGCAATAGGGGGAAAGTAGAGTGTTTATCAGTCTGGTGTTTATAATGCAACAAGTGACCATCATCATTGGTGTTAATGGACTATTTTGTTTCATTTTAATTATGTCCAGAATTACTCTTATTTCCAGAACAGCACATAGTGAAACTGTGAAACTGGTCTTTGACTTAATAAACTTTAGATTTTATAGACAAGAATCTGAATAAAATGAAGGATTTTTCCTTCTCTGTCCTGATAATAAGCAACAGGGACTCTGACTAAGGTGACTGAACTCTGGAATGACCAATCCTTCCTCTAGAATATATAACCCTTGAAAACTATTCTGCAGCATTATCCCAGCATTGCTCATTCATGCCAGCCCAAAGACAGGTTGACTTGGCAGACTTCTTTTTCTAAAGCAGTTGTCCATATTTTCTACAAAGATACAGTATAGGAAAATGGTTTAAAACTCACATTTGCAATCAAACATCCTAACTTAGTGTGTTGGTTTTGCAAAGAGCTAACTGGGTGACCTTATATAAAGTTACTTAATCTCTTCATGCCTCACACTTTAATTTCAGCTGTAAAATGTGAGTGCATGTGTTTGTTGAGGATTAAATGAGATAATGTATATACAGTGCATAGCATGGTATCTGGTACATACTAGATGCTCAGTAAATATTAATTGTTGCTGCTGCTATTGCTGCTCTTATTCATAAACAAGCTCCAGATGCAGACCTGAAGACAGGAGGAGTCCATGGGAAGGCATTTCTTGTTTCCTTTTCCAAGGTTCTTATACTAGGCACACTTTTCTTTCTCTCCAGTCCTATGGTGGTGTCATTCTTATGACATCTTTACTTTTTCTGCATTTAGACTTCTCTTTTAAATTAGAAACCAAGAAACTCATTTTAATCTTGTCACATTTAAAAAATTTTTGGCACATTTTAACCAGTATTCACTATGTAGTGCATTTTATTCACTCCCTTTTTTAAGAAGTCTGTTGAGTCCCAGTCTTTTTCTTTCTCCCTTCTCCCTTCAACCCCTTTTGGATAGTAGATGCCAAGAACTGAATCCATTATACCATTTGACTCCATAGTACATTGTCATCATCAGTACATGCAAGATCCCTCTTTGGTTTTATTTTACGCTTCATCCCTAAACCTCATCCTTCCCCCACAGTGTAGATAACCTCTCTAATGTGTCTTTACATGTCCTTAGATATGCTTGCATTTTTGTAAATAGATAATACTGTTGTGTGTGTATATGTTTTTAATTCATAAGAAGGTTTTGTACCATTAGTAACAGCGTTACATTTTAAAACTCTGTTACTTTATGTATGATTATTCAGTGCTTCTAACTTCTGCCTCTTAGTTACCTTTTTCCACAGGATGAACACCTAAATTACCATAAGTTCCTCACTACCACAGAACATTACCGCAATTAACATATTGTTACATTACCCTTAATAGATAGGGTGACCACATTGGTCGAATCTGAGATGCTTTTGAAATTGAAGGGGAGTATTTTAATTACACTGGGATAACAGGTGTATATCAAGATTCCCAGACAAACCAGGATATGTGGTCCACGGTATTTATGGAAGATTTTCCTAGGACCTAGCCAATAATCAGCAGTTACATACTGGGATAGCCCTTCCCCTCCTGTTTATTCCCAGCTGACATCTGTTACAATTGGTTGGTGCATGTGCTGGACTGATTACTGCATGTTTTAATACCACCATTGCTAGAAACCACTCATGAGGGCGGTATCTGGCTCACAGGTAACAGACATCCTGAATGTCAGTAAGTCTAAGTTTCAAACCAGTCTTGTTCTATTAATAGATGAAAAGACTTTTTAATCTCTTTGTTTTCCTATATTTCAGGGCTTTTCACATTTGTACTTTGTATGTGTTTCATCCTTTCTCCATCAGACTAATTTGAGGCTGCAGCAGGCACTACTAGTTTATGGACAATGACTCTTAGTGCAAGCTACTCAATATGGCAACCGCTATAGTTTATAAAGGACTTTTTTTTTCTAGATTGTATGTTATTGGAGCCTAATAACTACCTTTTGAAGTAGAGAGGACAGAATTTGTCGTCCTTATGTTACAGAAGAGGAATCCAAGGATCAGAGTTACACTAACTTGTTTAAGTCCACAAATCTAAGTTATGGAGTTGAATTTGTGACAGTCTTCTGTTATTTGCTTCTGCAGAATCTGAAAGGGACAGGGAAAAGGATACTTCTCTGTTGTTAAAGCAGGGGACTGTCCAGTTTAGCTTTATGTCTTCCTCAGAATATGACGCAGTGCCTGACACATAGTAAATGATCTATAGGTTTTAATGAACCAATGAACTGAGGATTATGTAGTATCTCTGGGGCCCAGGTTTGAATTAGTAATCTTGCTACTCAGTGCTTCAGTGACTCCCGGTTATTGCAGCAAGGCTTTGAATTATAGGTAAATTCAATTTGTAAATGTTGTGGCTGAAGAAAGAGACTTTGTGTCAGTCCAGAAGTTCTCATGTAAAGTGGTATGGTCCATTTACAATTCAAGTAGCAATAAGCATGGTTATAAACATGCCTATATAATGTGATTGTGGTGGTGGGGTGGGCAGGGAAAGGAGTAGACTATACTTGTGTATAGAAAAAATTTTTAAGTTTTTTTCTACTCTCCATTTTTAGCCACTGTTCTACAGCTTTAAATAACCAGTAGCAGAGTCCCCTCTCTTTCTGATTACTATATTGCATTCCACTGCTTAACACATACTTCCTGTTCCCAAGATCCCCAGAGGCAGCTAACGTTTGGTGAGGATGTTGGATTTCACTGAAAGATTTTCTCCAGATATTTTTTTCTAGTACTGAGAGAGGCTGGTTGGCCTCAACCCCCTTGCTCAAAACTGTCGGGGTCTTGAAGTTATTTCAGGCCCCACCTATCTTATCTTACCTATCTTATCGCGATCAACTACCTCCCATCCCCTTTCCAATACCTCCCACCCACTGTGATAAAAAGTAGGAGTTTTCTGAGAGAAGCCATTTAGTAACTTATATTTTTATACCCTACCCTTTAAGGAAGTTGAAATAGACATCTGCCTGTAGTAGCTCTTACTGTCCTGTGTCTTAAATCCTTTGCATTCTCTAGCTGCAGACACTTTGTACAGGAGGTATGTTATTTAAATTAGATGTTTCCTGCTGCTGCTTTCTTTGGCCATATGTTTTCCTAAAGCACAGATTGATTTACTAGTGCTGATGTTGATATTGTGAGCTTCACTTATAAGCTTTCGTCCCACCAATGTGGGCTTTTTAGAAAGCCCACATATATATCCCTTTAAGTACTGGTTTTCTATTAAAACCAGTAATAGGCTAGTGATTATGGCGGTTCCTTCCAGTTGTGCCACCAGATTTTCTTTTCCGTTATTTCCAAACTATCTCCTTTCTTTGCACTGTGGCTTTGAATTCTACAGTGCCTGACATAAAGAAGGCCCTAGGGAAGTTACTTTTCTCCCCCTTTTCTTTTTAATGCATAGATAAAATCCCTTTATAACGATCATTTTGTAAATGAAATCCTTCCACAACTTAGTGGTTGGTCCATGGAAATAGTACTTTGGTAGTCAGTTTTCTTTTTTTTTTTTTTTTTTAGTTCAGCTTTATTCTATTGTGGTGAGAACACTTAAACGAGATCTACTCTCAACGGATACTTACGTGTCCAATAACACCATTATAGTCTATAGGCACAATGTCGGACATCAGATTTTCAGAACTTCCATGTTGCATAACTGAAGTTTCATACCTGTTTTAAAATGGTCACTCATAGAAGTGAAGAATAGGATGGTGGTTGCTAGGGGCTAGGGAAATGGGTCCTTGCTAATCAGTGGGTAGTCAGTTTTCTATAGTGAATAAACTTGGCAGCCTGTGTACCCAAGTATGTGATTGTTTGCACTTGAGGTAGAAAAGGAAAGGAGAGTGAATTTGGTGATTTAGTCCTGTCATGAAGCACCAGTTACCTTTATGGTTCCCATGTTTTCCGCCAGCACCTACAGTACTACCCTCTCAGTTCAAACTAGGAAAAAATAAATAAATGAACTCCCAGACGATTTCTTCCAAAGCACCACCATACACAAACTCTCCTCAAGGTTGGGAGAAGTACAGAGGGGAGGTTTAGTTGGGAATCTGTCTGCCACTAAATTAGGAACAGTTTATTTACCAATTAGTTAAAAGCATAGCTTGTTCTTGTGAAAACAGCTAAACAGGAGAGTCAAGATTTGGGTCTTCCCAGTGCCACCAACAGAATCAAAATCAAAGGTGAGCAGAAGCACATCTTACAAGAATCACCATTATCTTTTTGCTGAGCTCAGCACAGGTCTTTCTTTATATTCAACAAACCATGTTGATCACTGTGTTTATTTATTATTTTATTTTCAGTCCCACCTGGTCTGAGTGGGCAACTCTGGGTACTCCTGTCCTCTGTTGTTGATACTAATCACTGACCTTGCCATGACTACCCACCGGCTACGTCACAGTCTTGACTCACCAGCCTCCCTTCCCCACAAGGCCTTTCCTTTCTCTTTTTTCTAATCTTCTCTAGTCCCTTACTTTCATCTTCACCTCTGTCTCCTTCACAACTCCTCCATGATTTTCTTAGGGCTGGGCTTCAACATCGTCGGTGGGACGGATCAGCAGTATGTCTCCAAGGACAGTGGCATCTTCGTCAGCCGCATCAAAGAAAATGGTGCTGCAGCCCTGGATGGGCGGCTCCAGGAGGGTGATAAGATCCTCTCGGTGAGAACTGGCTTCGGCCTCCTTCACTGTCCCTTGGTCCCTAGACCCTAGTTCCTATCCCAGCCCCTTCCTTGGGAAGATTCCTGCCTGCCTTTTTAGATCTGGAAATACCCAGATTGTAGCGTTCAGTGGGAGGGACCTTGATCAGTCATCTTTTCCAGCCCTACCATATAGAGCATGGAGGATGTTACTTCACTTGATAGACAGGGCAAATTAAGTCTAGAATGTGAAGGTATTTACCTAACTTCAAACAACATGAAACAGGGAGGGTGAGGGATTGATATGAGGGGAAGAGACTTAAAACCCACACTTATAGTTATTCTTTTATTGTACTTTATCACTTCCCTTTCGTTGATTAAACCACTGAAGTGTGTCTTCCTTCCCTCCAAAAGAGATGAAAGAGGAAGGTAGGAATTAAGTGTCCTTTTAGATTCAGAGACCCTTTTCCTCATTATTAAGATGAAATTTGGAATGCCGTCTGATTTAGTTATCTGTCCATTGTGCTCCCATTTCACTCTGCTCAAGTCTCTAATAAGACACTTACTGCTTAGTAACCCTTAGTTTTATTTTGTGGAAGTTCCTCAAAGGCAGGGACCAGATCTTTTTTTGATCTTTTACATCCTAACACAGTGCTTAACATTTATTTAACAAAGGAACAATTTAAGAATTCAGGCCAACCCAGAAAGGTTGGCTGATCTGGAATATAAATAGTAGTATCAGGGATGGTACTGCCCCATCTCAGTCCTGCTCACTGATCGTTTTGCCTCTTTACAGTCCATTAAGCTTCTCGTAGGCCCTCTTTATTCATCTGTGAGAAACAGGCAGTGATAATCTGCCTAACTTTAGAAGCAGATGATTTCCTGTTGCTCCCAGGAGAAAGACATTCTAAAAACATGAAATCAGCTTAAGTGATACATTAAAGAAAACTTGAAAATGGGTTGTTAAAATAAAAGTATAGCAGGTAGTTAAAAACTATACAGTTTAATGTTTTGACACATACCACATTCTCTCCAGAACATTGGGAACCAGGCTCCATGGTGAAGAGGGACTTGAAATAAGGGTTAAGAAGAGAGCATATTATTCAGAAATCTTTGGTTAAAGGTAAATTATTAAAAAATCAGAATGGTTAAACGTTTTTGAACACTAATATGCCAAGTGATGTGCTAAGAACTTCCAATTTATTTAACATTGCAGTAACCCTATGAGGTGAGTACAATTATTATGCCTGTTTTGCAGCTGAGGCTTGGTGAGGTCAAACAGCTTGCCCAAGGTCATACAACAAGTAAATGGCAGAGGGCTTGGTCTGCTGAATTTGGAGCATTTACTCTTAATCAGCATACCATTTGTCTCCTAAAAGGTAAATACGGAAATAGGGTTAGTTATCTTAAACAGAGAGTTGCATGGTGAGTTAATAGTAGAGTTTATATATGACTTTATACAAAAACTGAAATCAGTCTTTTCTGTTAAGGGTAGAATTAGGGAACAAAAGGACATAAACCTCAATGTGAGAGAATTTATTAGACATAAACCAAGAAAAGGAGCCTTATGTGAGCCATCACTTGATAGAGAAAAGAAACTATTGGAAGGCCACTCAAGTTTTTTTAAAAGGGTATGCCAGGAGATAAATGTCAATGAAGAGAAAGGTGGATGTCTCAGAAACTCAGTTCATCTGACTTTAAAACTTATGGTAACTGAACACTGGAATTTGACACAACACTGTAAAATGATTATGAATCAATAAAAATGTAAAAAAAAAACTTATGGTAAAGAGGATTTTACTTTATCAAAATACGAGAAATAAAAGAAGTATTACAAAGATCTCTACAAGATACTAAATACTACAAATATATATGACATATTATGAAGAATGATTCAAGTCTGTGTTCTGGCCAATTAAGGAAAAGATAAGTGAAAGAAGAGACGGAGAAATGCCAGAGAAAAGGCAAAAATAGAAGTCAGATATGGAGGGAAAGAAAAGAGACAGAGAAAAGAGAAAAGGATGGAGCATATGCAAGAGGGAAAAGCCAGCGTATTCTCTGCATTCTGTCTAGGGCAATATTCTTTGCTTGCAGTTTCCCTTCCAAGAGTTTGCTGCAGAATTCAAATTCTAGATCTGATTTCTTAAGAAATATTGCCTCACCATCCTATTCTCCTCTATCCTTAAGTGAACTTGTTAGGTTTACTAATGGTTCCATCTGCTTCTGAGCTCACTTCATCTCTTTGATCTACTTAAGTGCTCATTTATTTATTGGCTTTGGAGTCTATAAAATGATGCTAAAATATTTATTAGCCTATATTCCCATTTATTCTTTACAGACTTCTCTATCCTCTTCGCATGGTCACTCTTCTATGTTGTAAAATTTGCCCCAACTCTTTCTTTTACCTGTTGCTAGATAATCAGACTAATACGCCCTTTCCTTAGTACATACCCGTTTGCGGTAACTCATAGAGGAAGCATTAAGTGATCTAGATCTCTCGTGAGTTATAATTGACTATTTAATCTTTCCATTCCTCCCTAAAGAATGCCCATGTTTTATATTAATTTCAAGTTCTAAAATTAAATAACTTCATGATAAATTGTGCAGCTTCTCCTTCCTCATCAAAAGTGAAACTTAATTTTTTGTGATCACTGTGGATGGCTTTAAACTGAGAAAAAAAAAAAGAAAGATGTTTCTTTAACTAATGAATGTAAATGATTTGTAAGACCCTGTTGCAGCTGGCAATCATGAAATAAAAACAGATATTACCAACAGAAGAAAAGACCTGAAGTTGAGATGAGGGCTTAGAAATTCCTCACCCAAAGCTCACTTTTGTGTGTGTGATGGTGAGGATGGTTTTTTTTTGAGGATGGTTTAATACTTGTGTAGGTTACCAGGGAACCTGGGGAAATTTTATTTTTGTTAAAAATAAAATAAACTATCTAGGTTTCTTGTTTCCTCTGTGTGTCTGCCTAAATGAAGAGAGGTAGATAGTCAAGAATAGTCAACTCTCAGTGAACTCTGCATGTTTAATGAAGCTCGTAACTTAAAGGTGATATAGCTGATTATTACAGGGTACAGATTGATGTTCCATTTTGGCCAAACCCGTTATATAACAGAATGGCATGGACTGGACTGTTAGTCACCTACATTTCATATTCTCTTGCAACACAGTTCTTAATTTGGTGAATGAAAGAGTTGAGTAGTTATCAGCATTTATTAATTGTTTGATGGCCTGCAGAGCACTGTGCCAGGTGTTATGGAAAATTAAAAGAAAATGAAAGACTGGTCTTTGCCCTCCCCCAAATTGTAATTCAAGATCTTGGGGAAAAATGAAAACATCCAGAGTATGATCTAAGGTCAGTGCTTATTAAATTGAGCCCATTCATTCTCTGCATTGTTACATTTATGTTATTCTATAGTTAGAGCTCCAGTAACTCTAACATTATCTTAGGATCCTAACTAGATAACTATCCTAAGATAATGTTAGAGTATCCTAAGGCAGTTCAAAATTATTCATCATCAAAGAAAACTAATTTTATCTCAGTTTACTCCTTTCCTAAGGCAGGAAATAGGAAACTCATTTTAAATAAGACTGATAATAGCCATAGTTAAAGCAAAAAATTATATGTCTCCCCATCGGTTAACTAGAATACCACCATCCCAACTCTTGAGTATTCAGTCAGCAGAATTTTCTAGCGTTTTGCAAATCTTCATACCTCAGGTTTAATACAACTTACAATGCCATGAGTTAAGGAAACCGAAGTAGCAAGTGTATCAGTATTGTAAGTATTCTGTTTCTCAGTTAAATAGCTCTTGGTACTAAAAGTGAGCACCAAAGACCATTTGGCCATCACCTGGGAGCTTGTTACAAATGCAGTGTTAGGAACCTTCCCAGGACCCACTGAGATAAAAATCTGCATTGGAACAAGATCCTTGGGTAAGCCCATGAATAAAATTTGGGAAGCACTGCTGTAGGCAAATGCTTTTCAAACGTTTTGAAACATTTTGACCTGTAATAGGAAATACACTCAGGTGCTTGTGCCCGCACATGCACGCCCACACACAATGGACACAAAGTTAAACAAAATAATACTTACCTCTTCTATATGTGATGCATTCTATGTCGTGCCTTCTTCTAATTTCACCTTTTTGAAACTAAATACTGGTCTGGACCCACTGATTGACTTCACTAGCTTTTATAATAGATCGACAGACCTATATTTGAAAAATTACTACTCCGAAAACTGAAAATCACTGATGAAATCGTGAGTGCATAGACTGTATTAAATAGGGTAGGTAAGCTGGGTATGGAGAAAACTTGCAGACAGTTTAGGTTACAGCTAACTCAAACTTCAGAATTACCCAGAGGGCTTGTTAAAGCACAGATTGCTAGGATGGGGCCTGATAATTTGCACTTTTAATGAGTTCCCAGTTAATGCTGCTGATCCTGGGACCATACTTTGAGAATCTCTGGTCTGTGTTAGTAAGGATGGTGACAGAGTTAATTCCACCTTAAGGGCAAAATCTATAGAACTTGGAGGTTAGTTTATATGAGCTGGGATCTGTAAAAATACTTAGAGGAGATAAATATTGGAAAGCAAGTTCGGCTTTGGAGTAGAGAGATGATACTCTCAGGGGAGAAAGAATCCTAGTTTGTTTTATGGGGATGGTTTACCTTGGGCAAAGGATAAAAAATGGTACTTTAGAAAGAAATTCCCTTTGTGTTTCTAAAAGGCCTCTTGTTTGGGTCTTTTTTTTTTTTTAATTGCCCTGTGCCCTTTGCCCTTCTTCTGCCTGATGTCACCCAATGTCTTCCTTCCATGTTAGCAAAAGGAAACTCACGTGAGGACTAGGATGACACACCAAATCATTGGCAGGTAGAGCTGCTATTAGAGTTCAGGCCTTTCAGCTTTGTGTTATATCAATAAATATGTCTACCAAGCTTTGTGTAGGTATGGCTTTTGCAGGCTATACTCTGTGGCCAAACCTCAGGAAATCAATTTACTACACTCGAGTGTTATTCAAAGCACTATTCAGGTATTATAGGGGTTATAATCATGAGTTGAGATCCAACCTCTCTATTTACAGTAGAATGTAAAGTGTTAGAAGACAGAGCTCAGTTTGAGCTTTAAGGTAGTTACATAGTATGGAGAATCAAAGTTAAGTTAATCGATCACATCTAGCGCAGTTATCTGGAAAGGCCAGGTCAAAGAAGTGGCATTTAAATAAATTGCTTTTTTGAAAATATGAATGCTATTTCAGTATATAAAAATGAATAAAAATACTAACATAAATATCTCGTATTTTTATACAACTCAAAATTTTTAATGTACAACATATTAGATAAAAATGAAACTGCAAAACCAATAAAAATTCAGTTTGCAACATCAATGTGATGGATAGCAATAGGTTGCTGGAATAAAATCCTTGCCTAAAATGTAAGTTTCTAAAGCTTAGTGTTTTTAAGTGAAGCTTTGGGGCCTGGGCTGCTTGAATTTGAATCCTAGTTTTGCTACTTCCATTCTGTATGCCTCTCTAGTTTTATTACTTACAAAATATACAGGACTATTGTGAAGGTGAAATAAGTTAGTACATATAAAATGAATAGGCAGCTCCAGGCATGATAATAAATACACAGGGTCTCTTGGCAGTGAGTACTGACTGTTGGTCAGATATTACTTTGAGCTCAGTATTCCTGTCACTGATTGTCATGTAGTGACTCAGTTCTCCCACTTGCATTCATATCAGAATGAAACTTGGCTCTGATATGAAGCTATGACATCTTTGGCATTCGGTGACAAGACTGTGTCACTGACTTATTTGTCTGCCCCTGAGAGAAAAATATCTATTTCTTCAGAATGAGAAATACGGTTATCACATGGGCTAGTTAAGTGAGGTATGAAGTTTAGGTAACACAGATATGAGGGTAAGAATATATGTTTTATGTCCTAGAATCAGTGAGTTGTATGACTTAGTTAGAGCACAGGAAGTATGAAAGGGAGAGCTGAAAGTTTAAACTGGGAAGGTAGGTTGGTGTCATTTCCTGGAGGACTTTGCATACCAGAATGAGAAATTGGGCATGCACTCTTTCTTCCCCTGCTCCCAGTTTGGTTTTTGGTTTTGAGCAGTAACGTGGTATGAACAAAAATGTACTTTAGGAAGATTGGTCTGGGGACCTAGGGTTTGAAGGTTAGAATGGGGAAGGACCCAGGGGAACGTACAGCAGAGAGAAGATGATCACAGTAGTTCAGCTAAGAGTATTCATAACCTAAAGAGAGAGGCAACAGAAAGAAAATAGCATATGAGGAATGTCATCATGTTAGACTACAGGGGTTGGTGATACATTGCATGTATATAAATTGACAGAGTGGAGAGAGTTTTAAAATATTACCAAAAATGTAGTCTGAAGGGATGGTAGTGGGAATAAGAAGGAAGTCAGCCGGTATAGCCTGGTTTTGTGGGAAATAATGAAGAGACCTTGGATATGTTGAGTTGGGATCTAGCAGAATATCCCGTACAGGTACCCAGCAGGAAATCGGCAAATCCAAAAGTAGTAGTAGGGATAAAAGTGAGGGAGTTGTCGTGCAGATTATAGTTGGAGTTGTGAAAAGTCAACATGGGAGAGAAGAGAACAGAGGACTGCTGATACTGAGGAATATTTATATTTACTTACATTAAAAAGAAAGGAAGGGATGCAGAAGAGTTCAAGAAATCTAAGTGTTCATAAGTTAAGACAGAAGAGAACTGCAACAGGGAGGAGATGGTCTGAAGACCAAAGAAGGGCTATAGGACTTGGTGACTGGAAATTACTGCTGACTAGCAGGACAGCATGTGCTCCCCTCTACCCACCCCACCCCACCCCCCATGTACTGAGAACACAAGGAAATAAAGAGTAAATGGATGCTGGGGAAGTGGGGACAGTGCATGCAGACAGTTCTTTCAAAAAGATTTGCAAAGAAAGAAGAGAGAAGGTGAGAAGAGGGTGATGGTGGGCTCCAAGAAATATTAGTATTTTTTTAATAGATGATTTTAGTTGAGAAGGAGCAGAAAGTGATAATAACTTAGGAATCGAGAGAAGTAAGTGACTGCTTAAGTTCTGTAAGGAGGCTGCAAAGAATATGATCGAGAGCACTAGTAAGTGGGTTAGCCTTGACGAAGGAAATAGATCTAATTCAGAAATAAGGGGAAAGCAGCACTAAGAGGATATCAAGAAACTCTGAGGGGAAAGGAAGGAAAGTGGAGAGTGTTTGTCAAAAGTTCTCAACATTCTCAAGAAAGATAAGGCGAAGAAATTGCTGAGAAGAGAGACGGGGTTGGAGTTGGGGTTTGATGGTAGAAAAGGTCTTAAACATCTAGCACTGCATATTTATTAGGGAGTTCACCGGATGAAAAGGATTGTAAGGGTACAACAGGAGCCAGCTAGCATGGATCTGTGGTGGAGAGTGTGACTATGTATCTTTCTCTATGACTATTAAACTCAATGATGATAAGGAAAGTAAATGCATTATGTTGCCCAGGACTGGAATGATGGCAGAAGATCATGTGGATAAGGGATTCTAATAGTTTTCCAAGTGCTTTGTTAAAATAACAGGAGCTCTTAGATGTGTAGAAGGCTCTGATGAGGATAAAGAGGAAATTCACAGAGGCATAGGAATTGTGAAAAGAGTAGAAATCATGGTCAGGGTTTTTGTTTGTTTGTTTTGTTTTGTTTTTTTACGGAGTTTGAGATACTGGGGCTGAAGCATGCCTAATGTTGTAGTCCAAGTTTCTTATGCCAGTTGGTGACTAGAATGAACTAGAGCTGGAAGTCTTTAATTTGGGAAGGTAGACAACTTATAAGGCCAAAGTGTTGATAGATTAATTCAGTCAGGGTTATTGGCAGGAAATAGAATGGAGAGGCAATTATGAACCTCTTTGGAGAAGGAAGACTGGGACAAGGAAGATGAGAAGGTTGAATAAGTCAATGGCTTGAGCTTCGGCTGAGGAAAGAATGGTTGGTGAGTCAAGGTGAAGGAATAATAGTGCAGAAGGAACGGTAAAATGCAAGAGCACTTTAGTCTTTCTTCCGGGCTATGAAAACCATAGCCCTAACTGCTACACTTACTGTGACTTTGGGTTAAGTTACCTAACCTTGCTAAGCTTCAGTTTCTTCACCCATGGAAGTAAGATAAAAACAGTATGTACCTCATAGGATTATTGTGAGTATTTAAATTAGATAATGTATGTAAAGCATATAGCACAGAACCTACCAAAAAATACATTAGATGTTCTTGCTGCTGTTGCAGTTGCTGACACAGACGTGTATAAGAGATACGTAGATCTTGCATAAAGTGGGCTATGCTGTGTCACTGAATGCAGCATAGACTAGGTAACACTTGTGGCCAGTGTCACTCCTGACACTGAGAAGTATTAATACCTGAATGCTTCACAGCTCTCTCCTTTAAGCGGCAGGACTCACCTTCACTGAAACATTCTTTAGAAGTTGTATCATCACAGAAATACGGTTTTTAGTAAATTTGAGGAGGGTAGGAGTATCCGTGGAATGAAGGGAAATTGTTCACAATAGAACAAGAGCAATAAAAGGGGCTAGTAGGTTTGTACCACATCAGACTAAATGGTGGGAGAGCTTCCAGGAGTTATATTTCCAGAGCTAAAGCTGGCAATGCCAGGGATTAGATATAGAAAGGGTAGAGTGGTAGCCTGGAAGACCATGCTAGCTGCAGGGATGCAGGCTGTTGCTCCTGGAAGACATACAAACACAAGTTAATAGAATACCACGTGTCCAAACAAGACAGGCAGTAGGAGCTAAGAGAAAGGAGAGACTCCTTTTTTTGGTTTGTTTTTAAACTTAGGTGCTCTTTAGATGGCCAGTGCAACCTCAGTTCTAGGAAAACCTAGCTTTGAAAATGAAAAAAGTTACTCTGAGTTCTAAGTAACTTTACCTGTTCTCCTAGCCCTTGAAATTTGCTCGGTAGGAGTTGGTTGTTTAAATCTTTGATCACATGAAAGTAAATCTTTGACTTAAGAGTGTTCGCATTCTACCTGTCTTACTACTTTCCGTTGCTGTTTTGGACAGGTAAATGGCCAAGACCTCAAGAACCTGCTGCACCAGGATGCTGTAGACCTCTTTCGTAATGCAGGCTATGCTGTGTCCCTGAGAGTGCAGCACAGGGTAGGTGTCATTTGCAGCCACCAGGCTTTTCTACTATTGTTGTGAATAAATCCTGTGGTATAATCTTCAGTAGTGTGTTAGGGTCTTTTTTCCTTTCACCCTCACTCTTTCTTTCTTTTTCCTTTCTTTCTTTGTTTTTTTACCCTCACTCTTTCAAAGAGCTTGTCTGGCACAGGCAGGTGTTTTCTGAAACCTCTGCTTATCATTAAAGGAAATTCCAAACAGTATGTTTGCAACCCAGGCCCTAGCTTCAAGACAATGTGTTCTAAAGAGAAAGTTTGACAATCAAATGAAAAGAAATGGGGGGAAAAAGTACAGCCAGAATCAACTGTATTTCTTAGTAGGGAAAGAAACATGTCTGCCCTTGAACATTCTTATTTATGAAACTCTAGGTGCAGCGGTGGTGGGTTTTTTGATACCCACTGTGTGCTGTTTTCTGTCACCACCATGAACCCTTTTCTTGTCAATTTGGTGACCCTCTTGACCAAAGCTCTAGTTCTCAAAGGAGATGGGATTCAGATTTTGGTCAAGGCAGCACCTACCCCTAGTTTTTATAATTTGGATGATGAGAAGAGAAGCCTGGGTGGACAGAATTCCTCCCATGGCACGAAGGGCTTTGGAATGCATTTATAGCACAGGTTCGTTGTGCCTTTAAAGTTATCCCCCTTAAATTGATACCATCTTTGCCTCACTGAGCTCCTCAGTGAGGCTTCAAAGGCTGAAGAAGAGTTCAACAGGAGCTAGTACAAAAGAGGAGAGGGCATGGCATGAAAGATATCTGAGAAAACAGCCAGAGTTGCAAGCAGAATCTTGGTATGCTGGATTAGAAAACAGGTTGATAGAAGACAGTGTTGGTAATCAGCTGCTTCTGCCTGGGCTCTTCTTTGTTTCTAAAGCACGGGAGAATTTATGCAGGGGATAAAGGAAAGTAAATATAGGCATACTCTTTGGATATGATTAGGGTTCTTTTTGAAGGCTTGTGGGAGATGATTTCCAAAGTCCATTTTTTCAGAAAGGTCCATAAATAACTCCTAATAAAACAGATTCTTCTGGCCAACAAAGTAACCTAGCCCTGAAAACCACGTCTTTCTACTGAGTATGCTCTCTCAGGACGCCTCATCAAGAGATGAATGAAAGATGTAAAGGGATATAGGATAGAAAAGGTTGTTTATTCAGTCTTGTCTTTTAGAACAAGGAGGTCAGAGTTCCATGGATTGCAATGAGGAGATTAAATCTAACCAAAATGAGATGGCACCACAGTTGCTGCAAGTGAGCTATTAAAAGTTGATGTTAAGAAAGGCTGCCTTTAAAAAATTGACTGAAATGAAGAAAAACCACCAGCCTCAAAAGGGAGTGCTTAGGCAATGGAAAAATGTAACCATTTGAATATGATTTGTTTCTTCCTATTCACCTTTGAGTCTTCCACCTCCATTCCATATGGATTTCACCTTTATCTTTGCCTAGTATTACAGAACAAGAGATGAAGGACAGGACGCCATCTTAGGAGGGAGTGGGTGCCTTTTGGGAATTGGAAAATGTTTCTAAATAATGTCATCGCATATGTGTTAACATTGTTCAGATCTACTCTTATCGTACTCTGATAATTTTTCTCAGTTAACATTTCTAGACTGTTTACTGCCCCTGCCCAGTAATTTCCAGGTTCCCTATAGGATCAATAGGCTTCATCTTGTATCTTCATTTTCCTGATATGATACACGTATAGCTTGGTGGCGACAGTTCAGAAATAGAAAGAAGTTATCTGACCTACCCTCAGGGGTGCCTTTAGGTCAGTTGTACAATAAGATTAAATGCCTCACCATCAGACTTATTTTGTTTCCAAAGAATGGGTGACACTGATGGATCAGCTCAGGACAAACAGAGAGGACTCCTTCAGCCCTAGTGCACAGGGTTTACAGCTTTGGGTGGCGTGGCGTAGAGACTGTAGGCATGGGTAACATGTCAACCTGGACATTTCAGTTGTGTTGAACACACACTGGTCGTTTGTCTTTCCCTTCTAGATACAGGTGCAGAATGGGCCTCTAGGACATCGAAGTGAAGGGGAGTCAAATGCTATTCCCGCAGCTGTGGTGCTGGTGTCAGTGTTTGCCCTCACCGTGGTAGCAGCCTGGGCCTTCATGAGATACCGGCAACAACTTTGAAAAGCTTGCTTTCTTCCAGTGCTCCCAAGAAAGAAGATAGATTTCTCTCTTTCTCTCACCCTCCTCCCCTGCCATTCTCCCATGACTTTCCCTCTCTCTACATAGCCAGCACGCGGTTTATTTAAAGAGACTGCTACCCAACCGCAACTTTGCTATTCCAAATCTCTAAATCCACGTGTTCTGGTGGGAGAGTAAAGGCATTGTTGGAAGGAAGGCTGAAGACTTGCTTAGAACGAATGAAGATTTATATATTTTACTAGGACCGCCGATTGAAGTTCAGCTACAACCCCGAAAGGGAGAGATCCAGTCTTCCCATCACCGCAGTCGATTCCTTTTTTCTTAGCTGGCATGCCTCCAGGGCCAGCTGTAATAGAGGAAGAGGGGATTTTTTCTTTTTAGTGATTTTCCTTGGGAAGTTTTTGTGGCCTTTATTTAATTTCTAATTACCTATTTGGGTGCCTACTTTGTTTCAGACAAAAACAAATGAGAAGAGCATTTCTACTTCTTTTAAAAAGCAAAAAAATATATATATATACACACACACACACACACACACATATCATATGCATATATGATAGTATAGTAGTGATGCCTTTTAGAGAATTGAAGTGATGGAAAGCAGCTCTGGTTTCTGATGTGAGGGATTAAGGAATAATCTTAATTGAAGAATTTGATACATAATGGGAGTGAGAATGAGCCTCAAAAGAGGATGCCCAATCTGAGACATTTAAACTGAGGTAACTAATTAAAAAATCTTAGAACAATATTTCTTCTCATAATAGCTATGGTGAAGTTGAGGTCAAATGCCATGAACCATCTTTGTGCAAGTCAGTCTGTTTAAAAAACTTGGGAGATGTGAAGATAAATCTTACTCATCTCTGAGCTACCGTACTAACTAAATAGTACCTGTTAAAGGAGCACCTGGAATAACTGGTCAGAGCTGTGGTGATGGGGCCAAACCAACCCAGTGAAAAAAATCCTAAAATGAAAAAAGATGGTGTCTCCAAAGTGGCACCTCAGACTGTTTACCAGTCTTTCCTGTTTCTGTTAACAGACAAAATCTGAGAGAAAGGACTGCTTCTTGTCAGGATGGGCATGAGGTCAGCTCTGCATCAGTTCAGTTAAAGAAAAAGTGTTTAGATTGCTAATTTTTTTTTAAGGCTCTAAACACTGGTTGTGGCTTTTAATGAATAAGCCATTTTGCAGTGAAGGGGAAGAAAAGAGTTTTGTGTTCGGGGATAAGGAGGCTTGGTGGCTGTTTTGTGGGGACACTTTGAGGGAAGGGTATGGATAAATGGATGTCAGGGAATACCAAGAATACTAATGAGGCGGGAGCCCTCCCGTTCATGTGGTATTGAAGGTTGGTTTTAAAGCACTAAGGAGACCTGAACCAAGGCTAATTTTTAAGAAAAGCATTTCCAGTTACTCTCTCTTGCCTTCTGAGACAGCCTGCACTCTGTGGAGTGTGTGTCTACGTCTATTCTAACCACCCCTCTCCAGGCCCACCTCTTGGCCTTTCTCTTGCCTTCTGAGATGGCCTACACTCTGTCTACGGAGTGTATACCTCTCTAAATAAATCTAGTTTTACTCAATTATGGCTCACACTTTAATTCTTTCCTGAACGAAGCCAAGGACCCTCACTTGGCGGGGCGCCTCCCAGGGACTCAGCTGAGAACTGGGACTTGGCCATCCTGTTGTGCCCCACTTATTTTCCTGTATCATCTTTTGGCAACCATGAAGGGACAAATGGGAAAAAAAGAAAAAACAAAACAAAACAGTCCTCAAAGGCATAATCTTGACCCACCTATCCACCTATTGGGCTTTGGCTCTTCTCCTTTCAGGGCATGGCAGGGGACTTCTCTCATGCCATGCAGATTCAAGTGGCCCCTTTGGTGGCAGCCAACGCTGCCTGCAGGATCTGGCAGAGACTAGCTCTCTAGCCACGAAGGAGCCCACCGAGCCCAAGGCTTTTCTCTCCTCAGTCTTTTCTCATTCTCCTCTTTTGCTCTATCTCTTTGCACTTGAGAAGATCCAAGAAGGCAACAACCCAGACCTCCAAATTAAGACTAAGTGGCAAGTAATTGACAACATAATTGAGTGAGTTTCCCCTCTGTGGCTCCTCAAGCCCAGTGGCTCCTCTGTACTTGACTTAGTCTCGGTCCAGTTCCAGGATGCAGGAACTGCATGAGGGGGCCCAGATGGGTGAAACTCTGGGAGTGCCCCTTTAAAAATGTGTGGCTCAGCCCTCCCTGAGTTCTCGGGGCTTTTGGCCTCATTGCAGCCCTGAGTGGGAGTTGTTGTCAGGCACTCCCCTTCAGTGGGCCTGTGGATCTCTGACCTAGGAAGCATCGTGGCTGTACACATCCCCTCTTCGCCCTGCCCTGACTTAGACTATCTGTACGATCTGTTGATCCTTGAATGCCTTTGCTTGCTTTGCCAGCAGGTTGAGTGTTGCCTCCTTTACTTCTGTGAACAGGTGCCCCTCCTCAGCATCACAAGGACCACCTCCTGGTAAGGCACTCCAGCCCTACCCTTCTGCTCTATTTGTTTCTTTTTTCCTTTCAGAGATAAAGATAATCCAATTTAGTTGACTCAAGGCCTGAGTCTCCTTCTTCCCTCTCTAAAGAATTCAGGCCTTGGGACTCTGGACACCTCTTCTCCCACTGGCCCTTGCTTCTCTCCTTGTCTAATCCAAAGGAGCTCTCTCAGGCTCATGGGCACATCATCCTAACCAAAATGGGGATGACTATAAGCATCCCAAAGGATTCCCCATTATGATTCATAATTTGCTAACTGAGGGAGACTTAGGATAGTTTAAGGAAAAAGGCTGAATTTTCCTTTGCAATACTGCATGGCCCCAATACGAGCTAGGGGATCAAGAGATCTGGCCCCAAAATGGGGTTATTACAGTACCATCTTACAGCTGGACCTGTTTTGTAAAAGGGGAGGTAAACTAGGGGACGTCCCATACATCCAGATGTTCCTGACCCTATTCCAAGACCCAGGTCTAAGGAACTTTTGCTGGGTATGCCTGGCTCGCATCCCCTCAAAGCACCTTCCCCCACAGGAGCTCAATGTTTTTGATGACCCTCGTATGGGTCCACCTCCCCAAGGTCCACAACACGGAACTCCTACCTCCCCCGACTCTGAGAGGGGACAGTCTTCACGATCATCTGCCCCTAACACCCCATCTGGGCAGCTGTGGGACCCCAGGCCCTCATTAATTAGCCCATGGATCTGGCATTTGGAGTATTTAACAATAGAAGCAGTACTGAAGCGGCAAGAAGGATTTGGGGACAACTGTGAAAGGCACAATTGTTAGCAGCAGCCCTAATCCCTACACTACCCCAGGGTTACCCTCCCTTTCAAAGACCCATGACATGAACAGGATCCAGGACACCTGGATCAGAGCCACTGTCTCACTGAGAAGGGACCTGTTGCAAGTACAACCAGGCGGGCCACTGGAAGGATGAATGCCCCATGACTAGGAAAAGTCCACTGGGCCCCTGCCTGATATGTAAACAAGAAGGCCACTGAAAGAGGGACTGCCCCTAGTCCCAAAGGGGTATTGGGACTCCCAAACCAATGATGGCCCAGAGGACTGAAGACTGGTGGGGCCCTGCTGGCTGACCCTCCCTGGCTTCCAAAGGACACCTGGTCATTTCTCTAGAGGAGCCTCAGTAACCCTTGATGTGGCAGGTAAGAAAGTTTTTTCTTATTAGATACAGGAGCCACCTACTCTATGCTAACTGATATCCCTGGACCCTTGTTCTCCCAATCCTGTGTAATGGGATCAATAGAAGGCCCCAAACCAAGTGCCTGCTAGAAAATTTTACCATTGCACATCAGTTTTGGCTCATGCCTGAGTGCCTTATCCCCTTGTTGGGAAGGAACTTGCTCACTAAATTCCAGACAATAGTCCAATTTGGGGACCCTCACAAAAAGGACATTCACCAAGAAAAATGATTGCCCTTGGCCATGGGAGCTTGCCTCAGGACCAAGCCAGAGGGAGGTCTCCCTTCTGCCCCATATTTCTCAGGTGAACCCTGCTGCTTGGAACACTGACTCCCTGCACTCTGTCTATGGAGTAGGTACCTAATTCTACTCTAACCGCCCCCCATCCCCGGCCTTGGCCTTTCTCTTGCTTCCTGAGATGGCCTGCACTCTGTCTATAAAGTGTACACTTCTTTAATTAAATCTACTTTTACTCAAAGAAAAGAAAAAAGAAAACCATTTCCATCCTCTAAATATATTGGCCAGACTATAGGCTTTATATAATCTTGACAGAAAGACTATGAAGACTTTTCCTCAGGCAGTTGGTTGTATCCATTTTTTAGCATCTGGTACAAATGTTATAAATGTTGACTGGACATCAGCTTTGTTAAGACTTTGCCAGAGAAGCAAAATACATAGCCTTCATCCTAAAGGGATTTTTTTTGGTTCCAGATGGGAAGAGAACGCCTACACACATAAAATAATAGATAATTACCTGCATAGGCAGAGCAAAGTAAGTTAGTGTCAAATTTATATTGCAAACATCAAAAGGGGCACCATTACCAAGAATTGGGTCACTTGAGAAAGTTCCATAGAGGAAAGGGACAAGTTAAGGACCCTTGAGGAGCTCACAGTCTAGTTAAGAGAATTCGCATATAGATGAGAAGTTAAAAGTCTATCATCAGGTTAAGCAATAGTTGAGAATAATAAGAGAGGAAATGGTTCTATTCAGAATGTGATGTAGTGACAAAGACATGTTTTCAGGAATTCAGAAAGAAAAAGCTGTCATATGGTGGCATCGGGCCAGAGTGGAAAGGGAAGGCCTTTAAAAATAAAAACCCCAGTAAGACCTTGCCTCTGGGTCACCTACTGGTATGAGAAAAATTCTGTTTTGAGCAATGCTAGTATGATTTATGCCTTTGGACCTGAACTGTTCAGCACCTCTGAGACTCAGACAACTGCATTTCCTAGACTCCACAGAGAAACACTGACCGTATTCCAGTTCTCACCTCAACCAGCCCCACTGAGGAGACACAACCTCTGGTGCCTTCCCTGTGTCTGGAGGATTGTGCAGCAGCTTCTGCAGTGGGCCAGCTTCCCTCCTAGCATTCATCTCAGGTTTGGACATTAACTCCTGCAAGGACCTTGAGACATACAAAACGAGGCAAATGGCAAGCAGTGAGTAGAGCTCTTTGCTTTTTTGTTTCCTAGTATATGTAAATAAAAACACCTGTCCTATCCCATCGTTGGTAGAAGTTTTGCTTTGATTGATAATGGTGATTCTGAAGCACTTGAATAGTTTAGGTTTTCTCTGGAATTAAATAATATTTAAAGGCCAATATGTTAGTTTTAGGCAAGTATGCTAGTTAATTCTTGTTTCTGATTCTCTAGAAAACAAAATTACCATAGATGAAGTGTTGGAGTCCATTGTAGGTCACTAAAAGATTTATGGTCTTTATGGATTGAATCTAAGATTTCTGACACTTTGTCAGTTGCATCTCATATTCCTACCAGCTAAATGACTGTGTTCAAAGTGTTAAAAACTGAATGAAATACTTCTAAGAAAGACCATATGCTTAAAACGCTTCTCTATATTTATCATCCTATATTCTACATATAGTTCTGGGAAGACATTGCTTCAATCATCTCTATTTCCTTTTCCCACCAGATTTTAACCAGTGCTATTGATTTAACTTAATCACACCATCTAGCCTTATATAATGGAAAAAGGAAATTAATACTTGTTACTGCATTTTGTGCCAGGTACTAAACTGAACCCTGACTGGTAACACTATTTCTTCATGCCTCACAGCTCTGAGGACTAAGTGTTGTTAGAAAGACACTAAAGAAAAGAACGATTGCTTTCCTAAGATTACATAGGTGGTAATAGTGGAATCAGGATTTAAACTCAGGACTTCGGGTGCCACCATCAATGATATTTCCTCACTGGCAGTGATTCCCGAAGTGAGGTCTCTGGACAAAAGCATCAGTATTACCTGGGAACTTGTTAGAAAAACAAATTCTTGGGCTTCACCCTAGACCTACCCAGCAATCTGTGTTTTAATAATCCCTCCAGGTGACAGATGCACGCTGAAGTTTGAGAACTACTGCTGTATGCCAATAGTCACCTTTTCCTCTGGTTAGAATCACTTGGAGAGCTTATAAACATCTTGATGCCTAGGCTGTACCTAGACCAATTAAATAGAATCTCTGGGCTTAGGACGGGGGCAGCAGTAAAACAAAGTTCATTGGGTGATTCCAGTGTGCAGTGTCAGAAGAAAAGAATAAAAACAACAACAACAACAAAACACTCTATCATACTTTAGACACTATGTAAATTATTAAATTACATATAGGCATTGCTCCAGCCAAAAATGAGAATTTCACTTGGGCCTTTTTAGATCCCCAGTCTCCAGTAGCTTCTCCCTCAAGTATAGATGTGGAGTAAGAAGTGGAGTATCTTTGGCTTCTGATTTGCTAAGGATTGACAAACCTCCAGCAAAATGTATTAGTAAGCAACTCAGCTTGCGCATCTATTAAGTTAAAACCAGGTCATACAACATTGGAGCTAAAAGATTCTAGGATGGATCTGTCTTAGAGTTGAGAAAATCAAGGCTCAGAGAGGAAAATTAATTTAACCCACATCAAAGACTTAGTCTGTTGCAGAAGGGCCCTTTCTGTCTCATATTTCTGTCTTGAATCTGTCCACTACATGGTCATGGACAAAACTGTCCTTTTTATCTCAGTCCACTTCCATCTTCTCTCTCTGGGCCTTGAATAAAGGCCAGAGGAACTGTTTAACAGCTGAAGCGTATTCAAACATCAGATTATCCACAGAATAATCTGAGAGACACCTAATATCAAATTTAATCAGATGAACTCTTCTGAGACTAATCCCAATAGTTCTAAACTAGAGAAGTATGTTTTCTGATGTTGGACATTGTTTTCATTGTGTAAATAAGCAATTTTTAAAAATATATTTAAAGAAATGAGACGTTAGTTTCTCACGTATGTAGGGGAATAGAGTTCATTTCATTTCACATGCAGCCAATGCAGATTTTATTCTCATCTGTTTCAGCTGAGATTTATCTTTGGACAGATGAGGGTTTTTCCTACATTTGACAAATGAGTGCCTACTGTATGCTGTGTGAAGATACAAAGGCACATAGAGTCACTCTGAGCTGAGACAGCGCAGCATCTGAAAGTGGGGGAGTACTTGTTGGTGATCTCGCTGTTAAAATATTTTTCTGCTATCACCCTAAAGTGGTAGATTGAGTTGTGAAGCCCTTTACCTCTCGTCTAGAATAGGTTTACAGCTGGTTGCTATCCCAGGGTAAGCCCCTTTTGCTGTTTCACTTCTATCTGAAAATTCTTTCAAGACCAGCAGTCACATCCAAAAGGGCAATTGTGATCAAAAGGAAGATAGTACTTTGAGGAATTCTGTTCTGATCAGAACCAAGTTCTTAACAGCCATAGACTCTTGCCTGATGTTGATATTTATAGAGAGACTCCAAAGCACTTAATCTGCTTACCTGATGCCCTGGATGATATTGTAATAACCTGTATTATAAGAAAGCATTGCTATGTCTAAGGAATCAAGACATAGCGAACACTAGGTCCTGTTTCTAAATGTTTGCCTTACTCTTTCTTTTTGCATGGGGAAAGGGCAAAGGGAGAGGGCTGAAGTGTGTTTTTCAAATACAAGTTGATCATTAACAGAGTCATTTACAAAAGAACTTTTTATTTACTGTAATCATTAAATTGATTGACCAGTCACAGGAAAATGGGATGATCCTTCTTCCCAGTTTGCAGATTTTAAAATGGAATCACAGAATTGAGTCCCATTTTAATTTTGTATCTGCAATGCTGATTTGAATATGAGTTTCTTACTATGATTTTTTAACATTGAACGTCATTTTGTGTAAAATATATATGTATTTTACCCCCAGGATATATTAGTCTTTGTAAGATTCTTTTCCTTATGAACCTTATTTTATTTAGCTTCCTCTCTGCTTCGATCCTGATGTCACACTGCATGCCTAAGAGCAATCAGTTTCTCAGATCAAATAGATGCCCTATAGCAACTTGAAAGACATATGGACATAAAACCGTATTTTCTTTTTCTTTTTTTCTTTTTTTAAATTGAAATACTGTCAGTTACAATGTGTCATTTTCTGGTGTACTGCACAATCTCCCAGTCATGCATATACATACATATATTCATTTTCATGTTCTTTTTCACTAAAGGTTCTTAAAAGATATTGAATATAGTTCACTGTGCTATACAGAAGAAACTTGGAGGGTTTTTTAAATGTATTTTTGTATATAGTGGCTAACATTTGCAAATCTCAAACTCCCAAATTTGTCTCTTCGCACCCCTTATCCCCCAGTAACCGTAAGATTGTTTGCTATGTCTACAAGGGTGTTTCTCTTTTGTAGATAAGTTCATAGTGTCTTGTCTTGTCTTGTCTTGTCTTGTCTTGTCCTTTTCTTTTCTTTGTTTAGATTCCACATTTGAGTGATATCATATGGTATTTTTCTTTCTCTTTCTGGCTTACTTCACTAAGAATGACATTCTCCAGGGTGATCCATGTTGCTGCAAATGGCATTATTTTATCCTTTTTGTGGCAGAATAGTATTCCATTCTGTAAATATACCACAACTTCTTTATCTAGTCGTCTGTTGATGGACATTTACGTTGTTTCCATGTTTTGGCTGTTGTAAGTAGTGCTGCTGTGAACATTGGAGTGCATGTATCTTTTTGCATTAGAGTTCCATCCAAATATATACCCAAAAGACGGTTAGCTGAATCATACTATTTATTCTTTTATTCCATTAATCACCCCTAACACAATTCAACTTCTATAAA